GCAAAGGCAAGGTGCGACCAACTAGGGACTGGACAAACTAGATTTCCAGCTGTTCCCCGGGGACGTTAATAATAGGGTGATGGTTTTCAAAAGAAACTTCAGGATTCATATATTGGCAAGGCGACCTGGAGTATCTCTATTATGGAGAGTCACATTTAAGCGAACACACTACATCGGTATACCAATAGTCCAAATAAACCTCAATCACTGTGAAGCAGCGCAAGATCTACTATCACAAACAGTAAGGGATCTTCAGGCAGACATGGCGATTATAAGCGAACCTTATAGGTGTAAAGATGACTGTGCGTGGGTTGGCGATAGGAAACAGGGTGCAGCTATATGGCTCTGTGGTGGACTCGCATTTCAAGGAAGGCACAGCATGGGTGAAGGTTTCGTTCGAGCTAAGGTAAACGGAGTTAGCATTTTTAGTTGTTATGCAAGACCTAGCCTTTCAAAAGAAGAGTATACCCTTATGCTGCGTAGCATTGCTGAAGAAGCAAACGGGAAATCCCCGCTAATTATCGCCGGTGACTTCAATGCGTGCGCAACAGAATAGGGTAGCAGACTAACAAATAAAAGAGGTGAGCTGCTGCTTGAAACTTTTGCCCAACTCGGCGTATCAATAGTAAACAGCGGGTCCGCATACACCTTCCGCAAAATGGGAACTGGGTCAATTATTGACATAACGCTGGCGAGTGACTCCTTGGCCCAAAAAATAAATTGGAGAGTTAGTGAGGAGTATACCCACAGCGACCATCAGGCAATAATAATGAATATAACTCTGAGGCGACCCAAACAGATGCCAAATCTGACAGGCCCAAAATGGAAAGACAGTATGTTAGATGGAGAGGTCCTAGCCTGCATGATGGAAGAGTTCCAACACAAAGCTGGCTCGGTAGAGAGCGAGGTTGACCACCTGGTTCGTAACCTCGCATGCGCCTGTGATGCTGCTATGCTTCGAAGAGTGGTGAGGAAACAAAATTCCCCATGCTATTGGTGGAATAACGATATAAAAATACTTACACGTCAGTGTCTGAGTGCTAGACGTAGAATGCAGCGTAGCAGAGGGAGGCTAGACTTCAACGAAAACCTACAATCCCTAAGAACGGCGAGGAAGAGCTTAAAAAGCGCCATAAAAGAAAGCAAACGTGAAAGCTTTAAGAAAATATGCGAAGAAGCGGATGTAAACCCGTGGGGCACGGCCTATAGAGTAGTAATGGCAAAAACTAAGGGCAAGAAAGCACCGAGTATCACGTGCCCAGAAAGGCTGCGCGATATAATAACGACTCTATTTCCACAAAGGGAAGAAGTCGTACCAAACTGTACACGATACGAAATTGTTGATGTCCCAGTTATTACGGTTAACGAATTAGAGTCCGCATGCAAGAAGATCCAAGACGGAAAAGCCCTTGGGCCAGACGGAATACCCAACAAGGCTTTAAAAGCTGCAATTAAAATGAGGCCACATTTATTTGTAAATGTGTTTCACACTTGTTTTAATTAGGGCATTTTCCCGAAAAGATGGAAGGTCCAAAACGTAGTCCTAATACCAAAGGGAAATAAGCAATCTGGGGAACCCTCGTCCTATCGGCCCATATGCCTATTGGACACACTGGGAAAAATCCTCGAAAAAATTATTTGCAACAGGCTTACATCGATCGCAGAAGAGAGACGCTTTCTGTCGCCACACCAGTTTGGCTTCAGGAAATCTCGTTCAACCATAGATGCTGTTAAATCAGTGGTTGACATAGCCAAAGAGGCCATCGAAGGGAAAAGGTGGCGTGGAGGCAAAAAGGAATACTGAAAAACCCTGACGACTTAATGGGTATAGACTCGATAAGTGCACCAGTGTTTTTTATTGAATAAATAAGAAAACAAAAGCACCAGGTTTTAGTTTGAAATACAATTAAGTTTGGCGGTTTATTTAATAGGTATATTAAAATTCAAGGGGGCTTACAATATTACCTTGATTATGAAGTGGTGTGGTGGCGGAACGTCCGTAATCGCTGGTGATTGAAATCCAATAGCAGATTTAAAATGTTAGAAACTGAAGTCGAACCCTCTAAACGGTTTGAAGAGTTCCGTTTTCAGGGGAAATTTAACGAAAGTGCACTGACAGGAAAAGTGCAGTTTTTCTTTTTGTCTTGTTTCACATACGAATATGTATGTGTGTGCATCTGTTAAATTAACATTAGGGTGGTACACCCCATCATTTAACTTAAGTATTTGATTTAGCGTGGAGGCCTAAACATACCGGCCCCCTTGCTATAAGCAACGTCTTAAAGATGATTCAGCCACCACACCTTACATTTACATTCATTTACATTGTAAATTATGTTCTTTAACTTTGTGAATTCTGCCGCAGATTGGTCCTTGCCCGGAGATCTAGTCCGAACGTTCTCCGGTCCTCCTTGCAGTCTCTAGCTACGGGGAAAAAATGGAAGAAAAAGCTAATAAGGAAAAAAGGTGTAGTTGATCATTTAATTGCACTTTTATTTAAATTCGGTATGTATTCATGAATACTAAATATAAAATTTTAAATGTTTTGTCACATTTGGTGAGCTCCTGATATAATCAGCCCGAACATGGAAGCTTGCGCTAGTAAACCGCCGATCGTTGTTGGCGGAGTGCCACATACCATGACTTGGGCGTACACATCAGCGCCAAGTGTTAGTCGAGTGGGGGTGGCCCGATAGAACTGTGGATCCGCCAGACGCATAAATTGAAACGGCGTCGCTATCGTTGGGTCGATGTTAGGCGCAGGGCTGAGTCGGTTGTATCGCGTAACTAGCCTGGCCTGAGTATTTACCCGTTCCGCGACCCCGTACTTTCCTCGCAGCACGAGGGAACATGTTTTCGCGCGGGCGTTGCTGGTTTCGAGCTGAAGCTCCCGTGCTAGGTCCCTGTCGATGGTACTGCTGGGGGCGCAAGAGTCAATCAACGCCCGCACCAGATGAAGTCGGCCGCCTGACTCGATCCGTACAATTGCGGTTGGGGCGATGGCTACGAGTGAGCGCATTATTGGTGCTGGAACCGCGATTGTTTTTAACTTGCCTGTACGGAATCCACCCGATGGAATGCGTTGATGGTGAGGGAGGAACGGTCGCCACGTCGGTGTCGTGCGGCCCTTATTGCTTGCCAACGCGACGAGCGAAAAGGACGAGTTTCCGCGCCATCACGCTGGCTGCAATTACGCTTGCGCCAAAATGAGCGAAAAGGACGGGTTTCCGCGTCATCTCGGTGGCCAGAATTGGTTCCGCGCTGATATGAGCGAAAAGGACTAGTTTCCGCGTCATCTCGTTGACCGCCCGTTGGCTGTGTGTGTGACAGCACTGCTGGCCTGGGTCTGTCTGCTTCAAGTTCGTGCTGTAGTGGCGGTCGAAAATTGCGGGTTTTCAAGCCGCCGTCTGGTGGTGAAGGGATTATCTCTTCCCGTCTTTCCACCTCTTCTTCCTCTACCTGCTTCGCCCATGACGTCGTTTGGTCGGAAACGTGGAACGAAATCGCTCCGTCAGAGCCGTCGTCGTTATCGGGGTGATTTTCAATCGTTTCCCTTGGATCGCCTAAGTCTTCAATATGCAGGGAGGTATGGTGCTTTTCGTCGCAGCGGTGGCATCGGTCATTGCTTCCACATATTTCTATCCGATGGAATGGCGACAAACAGTTGGGACAGTACCGATGTATCAAAATCGCCCGCAACCTTTCCTCGGCGGATTTCCCTCGGTATATGGGGCAGAGTCGTACTCCGTGGTTGTTACCGCACAACCGACACGGAATATTAAAATTATCGACCCGTTTCTCGGTCTTAGTGCTGGTGGCCGTGAAGCGAGGCATTCTGTAAAGTTAAACCCCCTTTTTATGGCCGTATGCACAATTATGGTTCATTGTGTATTTTAAACATTAGCTGGGTGGCAAGTTATACATATATGCATACGCATATTTAATTGCTAATATGATTTACATTTCTTTTACTATTTTTATTTTACTTTATTATTATTATTATTTTATTTTTATTTTTTGAGGACTAATTCCATGCCCTGCAGTGTATAGTGGCTGAATAGTAATTCGCTTATCTCGTACAATAGGTGAGAGAATGGCTATGGTGTTTTTACCTTGGCCTCCCACCCGAAAGAATAAACAATTTCATTATTTGTTCGCATGGTGCGGAACTTCGCTGAATCGGTTCAACCGCAAGTGCTTGTGAATGTGCTTGGTAGTATCACAACTTAATGATTTATTTTGATATTACTAAGTTGGAGGGCACTTCAAAATTCATTAACTCATGATTTTATTAAAAGGAAATGCATATTTAATAAGCTCTGCTTTGTCCCGAGCAGATCTAAGTCGTTCGCCGGTATCGAGTTGCGTAGTAGATTTTCAGTTGACCGATCGTAGGGATCCTAACCCTGGCTGCGCTGTCAACCAAGAGCGTAAACTAAAATTTACGTTCTTATATTAGAGATGTGATTAGTCAACACATATGAGTATTCATAGCTACTCGGTACCGATTTAAAAGTATCCAATACTTTCGACACTCGGTGACAGACTATTAAACAACTTCTAACAAGAGCGAACGGCAGCCAACGTATGGAAGAAGTTTTAGAGGTAAAGCTCATTAGCGAACTTTGAGGCGGTATCGTACAAACTGCATTGAAATAAATAAGTCAATATAGATATGCATATATATATTTTTATTTTTATTTTTATTTTTGTTAAGAAGCTATGTACGGGACTCTTTGTGAAACAAAAATTAGATTAAAGAGAGTCAGTAGTTGTCGAAACTTTAGTAAAGTGGTCAAAGTTTCGTTTTTATGTGAACCCTTATTATTCTTTCGAAAAACCGGATGGGCCCGAAATTGTGCAACAAGGGACTGAAGTGAGTTTCTATTGCCATGGTAAAGTGCACTGAATAGGTATCGGTTACCAACACCGAAACTTTAGGTACCGAGTATTCTGGCAATTATGCACATCACTATTTTTTAAATTGACACTTTCATTGATGTCAATCGCAGCACATATACGAATTTCCTCAATGGCACGAGTGGGTACAATGCGGTAAGTTGAGTATTTTTGCTTGTAGTATTTTAATTTGATGTTTTTTTTCTTCTACTTTCAGCTTCCTTTGGAGATATTCCACCCAACACCTACATTCATCCAAGTACGGTATGTTTACAACTCGCAACCGAGTTCGCCTGAAGGATGAATGAAGAATTCTAGTATGCAGAATGGAAATTCCTCTCGGGAAAAGCCAACCAGTATTGAAGTATTGTGAAATATGCATTAATATAATATGAAGCTTTTATTTAAACCATATTGTTTTACTAATATCTTTTCGTTTCCATTTCAGATTACCCTCGTTTAAGCGGGCCACACAGGTGACATGGGGTGTTTGCTTAGAAAATAGAAAATGCTGAAAGGAGAAATCTACAAACAGGTGTGAAGAAGTGAAATATTTATATTGCTCCAACAACTCATTTCCCGGAACATCGTGAGTACTTTACCCTTCTATGACAAAGGTCCATAAACATCTCTTGCTGTGATATGTAGGAGAGCGCTGCATGAATGCATTCAAAACGGCGTATGAATTATTCATGTACAAAACGAATGCATGATTTTGGCTTCAAATTTTTTTTTTAAATTTGAGCGAATAGCTGTTCAGATATATGTGTCGACATAACAATATTCGAACAAAGTGAAAATAAATTGAATTGATATAAATGTCAATTTTTTTGTATGAATATCCAAAAATATTTTTTATTCGTACATATGTACAAACATACATATGTATGTATGTATGTATTGCTGCGCTCCTATTACATACGAAAAAAACTTGTTTGTAGAAAAAAAAACCTTTGCCGAACTGAGTTTGAACGATTTAAATGTTTTCCATTCATTCAGTCACATTCTTCCATTTAAAGCATCGTATAGGCTTACAAGTATGGAAAGCGCCATTTTGTTTGTTTACATTTGAAAACAGCTGAGATCACCTGATTTTCAATTCTCTCATTCTCCGCACAGAGTTACATTCAAGTTTCAGAAAAAACTTTAAAATGTAAATAAAAAAAAATTCAAATTCAATAAAAAAGAAATTAAAAATGCGTGCCAAGTCTTGCATTTCCAATAATAACGATAAATGTGTATGTTCCAGGCAATAATTTAAAATATTTGTGAAACTTATCGTTTTGCGCTAAAATACAACAATGTGTGTAAAATTCGTTGTCATTGCTTCTGTTTTGAATAACATATTCGTGCCTGCCGGTGGAAAAAATAGGTAAAATTGCATTTATTTTCAAGAAAACATATCAGTTAAAATATATTTCTTTCCAGAGCGACATACGGACAAGTAAGATGATAAATTTGTATGATGAATATCGCGGAAAAACTTTTGTATCAAAATTTCGATTCTAATTTGCATTTGAATTATGATATCAACAGGGATGATTTGGGACGTATTTTTTGAAGACAATATTCTTATAAATATTGAGATTGTTGATTTATTTTAGAATTAAAAAAGGTAGTTTATATTAAAAAATATATTTACACTAGCAGTATGTAAATTACTTTTATTCGGAATTGAAACGATTTTAATGAATATTCATGGTTACCATTAATAGTAGTATGACAGTTAGATCTAAATGCATATTTGACAAGAAAGATAGAATACAAGATTGCGCCGTCCTGGCGGCGATGACATATCTGTACAAAAAGTAATAAAAGTCGAATTGGATGTTGAAAGAAAATGTGAGAACAGCAAATTTTCTTAATATTAAATTTTTCGATAAGGAACGTGTTTTGATTGTGCTAATTTGTAATAGCCTTATTCATAAACAATAAAGTAGCTTAAAAAAGGCTTATAAATTGAAAAATGTTTGTAAACGGCAATTTAAAAAGCTTTTTAAAATTTTTATTTTTTATTAATAAGGCAATAAAAATATGTGATTTACAATAACTTTTAACAAAGGAAATACGAAATAAGGTGATTTTTGCGGAAGTGGGTATTAGTGAATTTCAGTGCATTTAAAGTTTCTGAGGTTTCGTTTACCTTTAGATCAGAATTGTCAAAATTGAGAAATTCAAAGTAGCGATACAATAATCATAGAAAAGAAGATTACGCCCTGCTGTGATGATGAGTAAATTTACCACAATGAGGAAGAATATAACAATTAAGTGAAAAAATTTTATTTTTACAAATTTAGTGAGCAGTAACGCGTTTCAAGAACGATATTTCAGACAAATCGTTTTGGCAAAAAAGTTGATAAGCTCCTGACGGCGATCAAGTCATTTCAACCATAAAATAATATTATTTGCAAGAACCATTCACTAAAATTTTAACTAACTTTATATTATTTATTAATTCCTTTTTGATATTCAGCAATAACAAGATGGAAAAAAAATTATAAACCAAAATTAGTAATATTTTTATGAATGTAGCTATAAAAGTTCACAGAGGAAACGCCGGAAAACAATGTATTGGCAACAACATAAAATTTATGGCAATTTAGATGTCAACAGAATAATAACTACGATAAAAAAGCATGAAAGAGGTGTGCGAGAAACGGTTAACAAATTTCTTATAAAATATTTTGATTTTTGCTGGGTGTAAATGAAAACTCAATGAGTATTAAGGAAAAGAAAAATTTGAAAATAATAAACAGAAAAAGAGATGGGTGCACAAAAACTTTAGTTAAATGTTTTTCCCAAATTCTTAAAAAGTAAGCAAATCGATTTTTTTTAATGTTACTTTACATCTATTTTCTTTTTTATGAATAAGGTCATAAGCATGTACCGTTTTTATAAATAAATCTTATAGCAATATGCTATATATTTATTTATATACTTTTTGGCTGGCGAAATATGTAATTTTTCAACTTAATAGAAAAGCGTATTTAACCACATTACTTTTTTTTAATATTGAATGGCGCAACACAACAACTTTTTTTGTTGCACGAAACCCTTGAACACGTGGCTGTCATCTATTTCTTCTGTTTCGACATTTCGGTATTTTGCATTTCTTTCATTTTGACGTCATTCGCATTGTCAGATTTTTGAAATGCGTTTTGGTTCGACATTCTGCTATTTCATAATTCTTACATTCTCATGTCATCCATCTTCCATTTCTTACCTTCCATTGCCGTTCGCATCGTCGAACGTGCCTGCCAAACACTGCCGCCATCATGCTTTTCAGTTTGGCAGGCACGTCCGCTGTTGGCAGGCACGTCCGCTGTTAGAAAGAGAATAGACAAAAAGGGGCATAGGATTCCATACTTGTAGGTATATACATAAATTTAAAAACAAAATGTATATTCATTACTTACAAAATTCCAAACGCTGGGTGTTTTGTATGTGAAGTAAAATATTCAAATCTACTGCACTCTAGAAGTTTGAATGAATTCATGCAGCCCATATACATATTAAGGGTACTCATTTAAAAGCGCAAAGCTCTCGCAAACTGGGCAAACTGTGCAATTTAAAACCCTCGCAAATGAAATGTCAAAATTTGTATGGAAAGCTATTTGCACAAAAGGGGCAAGTTTGCGTGGAAAGTTTGTCGCGCAAATTTGCGCAGTGTGATGTGCAACCCTCAATCAACTATTTTGCTCAATTTCATTTCGATTTGTGCTCAACGTTTTTTCGTAAGACTTAAGTATTTTCTTTTTCTACTTATTTGTAAATTTTTTGAGTACAACACATCGTTTCTTGGTGCTGAATCCAAATCTGGCCTCACATTTGCTCTAGCACTAGAATAATGAGATATCCTAACCTCAAAGTGCCAAAAACACGGTTTTTAGAGATATTTGAGGTTTAATAGTGAAAACATCAAATTATTTGCTCATTTCTAATCAGGGCATCATTTTCGTTGGATGCGATTCGATTTTTCTTTCTCGAGATATACCAGTTTTAATGTGCAGTACTTCGGCATTATGTTATGAAAAAAGTATCCCTTGATTCAAAAAAATTTGGTGCTTTTAGTGTGGTAAAACGCTTTTTTTCCAAGTTTTTGGTGCCTTTTGAAAATGAAAAGATGGCAACACTGCATATGTCTATATATTTTGTTGAGTAGGCATTGGTACCATATACTTCTATTGGGGCCATAAATTAGTTCTAATGTCTTCGAAGCTTCGAGATTCGAATTTGAGTCGAATTTTAGCTCCAAACTGGCGAATTTTCGAAATCGAACTTTGTGGTGCTGAAATTCGGATAAAAATCGATTTTTTTTTTTTTTTGTTTATAAACAAAAAACGAATTTCGTCTTTCTGGCGCATTTGCCAAAAATGTGGCTCGAATAGAACTGCTCGTCTTGTTTACTTAAGTATGTAACGTGAAGTTCGTACAAATCTCTCTTGCTATTATAGAGCACGAAAAATAAAGTACATTATACTTCTCAAAAGATTAGTTTCAGTATACATTTTCTTAATTTTTAATTTGTACAACGAAAATACATATAAATTTTTGGATTTTTCGCTGATATATTTTGAGAAAGAAATACTTGTTATTTGTTTTTACTTTTGGTTGTGAAGATAGGCTGCGGATAATTAATCACTTCAGTGTAAGTTCAATTGCTGGTCTCTTTTTCGATTTGAACTATCATTACAGACAAACTTTTAAATTCTGCAGTAAAAGCTTGTTGAAAATTTGAAATAAAATGCAAATTAAATCGAATTTGTATCACCATTTATCGAATCGAATAATTGAATGGTTGGGTGATATTCGACATTCGGCAGAAATCGAATTGCAACCTCCCCTCCCCATCCCTAATGCTAAATTACATAACTTTCGGTGTGACGGAATCACATGATTATTTTGTATTGCTTAGGTACGTATGCTTCAAACATGCGCTTTCGAAGCTACTCGTATCGAAGATTCGGTAACTGGAATATTTGCCATTTGAGATGTGGGATTGCGTAGGGCGTTGAGAAGTGGAATTCGCGATGGTTGTTACGACGACTTAGATGATGAGACAGAGTTGCTGGGTTGTTCCTCATCCTGTTCTCTATATGGCGGCAATAAGACCAATTTTACTAATGGCCTTGTGACTTGCCCTCTTTCGGTCATGACATCCACGACTCGTACTCGGTTATCCGAACCTGGGTGTAGGTTAACGATTCTACCTAATCTCCACTCGTTAGGTGGTAGGTTGTCCTCCTTAATAACGACGAGGTCTCCATTTTTCAAGTTGGCTTGTGGGTATTTCCACTTATTGCGCTTTTGGAGTTCCGACAGGTATTCTGTTTTCCACCTCTTGCAGAACGTATGGTGTAGAGCCTTCAGTCTTTGCCAACGATTCACAATCGACGCACGGTGTTCATCAGCGTCGAATTCAGGAGGAGCAAGAAGGTGCCCGCCGACTAAGAAGTGACCTGGAGTAAGCGGCTCTAGGTCTGAGGGTTGGTTTGAAGAGGGACTGAAGGGTCGCGAGTTGAGGCATGACTCAACTCTGCATAGAAGGGTCGTAAATTCCTCGAATGTATATTTATGGTTAGAAGTGATTTTTGTGAAGTGGCATTTAAAACTTTTGACTCCCGCCTCCCACAATCCACCCATGTGGGGAGCTGCGGCGGGAATGAAATGCCATATAAGCATTTGATGGGTGTATTTTGTTATGGTGATCTTAGCGATCGCGAAGCTCCGACAAAGTTGGTACCGTTGTCGGAGTAAACATTTTTTGGGCAACCTCGCCTCCTCACGAATCTTGCAAATGCTGCCAAGAATGATTGTGTGCTTA